AAGCACACACCGCCATCACCAGCGCTCCCAAGGGTCTATTTATAGGCTTCATTTGACAGCATGTCCGACTAGATAATAGTGTGAAAAGCAAGCCGATCCTTTAATCATCATCTTAGTTAACATACACGCCTCTTCTGCAGCGAAGCAGCTTCATACTTCACATAATTATAGTAGTTTGCAGCACCTGTCAGTTGGAATACCAGATTAATATGAATGAATACATATCCACCCAATCAGACAGTTTGGCAACAGACTCCTGTGCAGTGTTGCATCCTGCTGTCATGGTATAAGACCACAAAAACACGTAGCATAAATAAATGTGTCGACCTGTTGCATTTTACTCTCTCGTTTTCACCTCATAAGATCAAACACAGTAGCAGTGAGGGAGTGGCAGCAGTTGAGAGGAACAAATGAGATCAAACGATCCACCGATGGTTCTTTCGTGTTTGTTTTATTGTCATCAGGTTGGCATCTCCCTCCTAATTGACAAAAAAGTAAGAAAAGCATTAGGAGCGGCTGTTTGTCAGATGATCAGTGTTAGTACAGCAGATGCAGAAGGCATGTGGACTGCTCATAAAAAATGTGATTAGTAGTAGAAATGATTCGGGAAATTGCTGCGCCTTGCTTTATAAGTAAATGACATAGGAAAGAGAAAAGATAGAACTCTGAGGTTTTCTTTAATAATTTTCAAAGGGCATTCTTTTGTTGGTTTTAATATTTTTTTTTGGCTCTAGTGGCCTTTATTTGACAGAAATGTGACAGGAAAATAGGTTGTCAGAAAGGGAGAAGACAAGCGGCAAAGGTCAACAGGCCGGGACTCAGACCTGTGACGGCTGCGTCAAGGACTGAGGAGTCTGTACATGGACCCCACGCTTTACCGCAGTACCGCCGCCGCACCCATTTTGAAAGAAAATTTAACGTTGGTAAACATAATGAAATTGGATTTTCACTGAATATGTATTAAAGCCTTTTATAAAACTGTTGATATATATTTTAGCTGATTGCAGTTTCTCTTGAACAGCTGCTGCTGTTCAAGAGAAACGTCCACTCAAACACCCTGTTAAGAAGATACAAGAGCAGCAATGATAGTTATGTAGCAGCTCATATATATAAAGTCTTGCTCTCTCTCACTGTTTTGCCTGAATAAACCACAGATGTCTCAGTAAATACAGTTTATCTTACTGAAATCTTTGCTATACATCTAGGGTCAGATTCAGGAGTATAAGATATTTTTATGCAAAGTTTGCGTGGATGTTTAAAATTCCCAATAGTTATTCTTAAAAATATACACACACATGCACGCACGTACACCAACACACAACAGCGTACTACTGATGTAGCAACCTAGTTAATCGCCATATCAGGTCAGCCTTTTATGTTTATTATGCTTGCATGTTTGATCATCTAAAAGAAAGCTGCCTGAACTCTAAAAGCAGTGATTATAATTAAAGTGCTACTGTATCTTTTTCAGCTTTTAGTCAGTGATACTGTATCTTCCCCACAGTAATGACTCACTGACAGCCAGCACCAGAACATCCATTAACCCTGCTTGCCTCTGTGCTCCTCTGCAGCACTGACTGCTGACGTGGAAAACATTTAAATGCAAATCATGGTGATTTCACATTTTTCAGTAAATAGAAAACATGAACAGGTAAAGAAGCTGCTCGGTGTTTCCACCGCCTTCCGGGGTCACAACTTCTAATAAAGAACCTAATCACACAACCTTGTCTTTCAGATTCACAAACATGCCTGCAAGTTATACAATTTCCCCTCACTAAATCACACATGAAGCTGAGCTGATTTGCATGTTTTGTTACTTTCCGCTCTGTCTCAGGCTGCTGTTTTTTTTATATGAGAAGGAAACTGCAGTTGTGAATGCAGTTGCTTTGATAGCTACCCTCTTGGTAGTTTTATTTTTGCCTCTGCTTTCAAGATGTATAATCTCAGCATGTCAGTCACAGTGATGCTGCCCCAGTACATCAGGAAGAAAAACACTCAGAGGAACATAAATGGAAAAGGGTCTGGCAGAGATAAAAAGATGTAAATCCAACAGAAGGAATCCACAGTGAAATGAAATGCACCTGTTAAGAAAAGAAACGTGACTAAAAATTGCCCAAATGTCCAACGCAGGTAAGTAGAAAACCACACAAGAAAAAAAAAAAGTCATACATACTTAAAAAAACAAAAGTCAATAACAATATCTATCCTGATATACGTGATCAATATCAATAGACAATACATTTAATAGAATATTCAATATTTAATATATATTCATTGAACTGCGATCCAGAACCACACACACAACTAAGAACTCACTCACTCTTTGGTTAGCTAGCAACAATTTGTTGTGTAATTTGCGCAGCAGCAGTTTCAGGTTTTGCCACTGTGCTGCTTAAAAACAAACAACAATGGTGTGGAGAGAAAACTGGATAAAAGAAGACTCTCCAGTCACATATCCAGTCACGTTGCCAGTTTGGGAGTAGTTCAGATATTTAAAACAAAAACTAATCAATACTTATTTATATTGATTGATATGAAATGCTAATATCGTGATGCGTTTTTCAGCCATATCGGCCAGCCATGCTACTTGCACTTTTAACGCTGTAGCATGCCAAACAAAGCAGCCATGGGGTCTTTGGTAGTGACAAGAAATCACACAATACGAGTGCCACAAACCTCATATATCATGCACATATGTGCACAACGGCTACAAAATCAATGCTGTTGTGAGATACAGATCACAGCAATTAACCAATTATATTACTTATGTTCAGTTTCTTCTATGCAAATGCTTCACTCACCTCAGGATACTATACACTTGAAACTTAAAGGGGAAACTAACAGCATCGCTTAATGTCTACTTTATCTGATCGCTTGGAGGCATTCATTGCATTAAAGTGATATACTCAGAAGGGCGGCAAATTCTTTAATAGGAAGAGAAAGAGAGATGAAATGGAAAAGTAACACACTCAGCCATGATGCAGCCGAACACTATGACTAGTATTGATCTATAGGTAAATTACTCAGAACACGAGAACACAATAAATATAATTCAAAGACATAACAGGAGTAATTGATTTACAAAATCCCCTTCATTTATTTATTTATTTCCTATTGCTGTGTGTGTTTTTAACTGAATGCATAGAAATATAGGAACTAGTGTGAACGCAGCTTTAAAAAAATGTACTGCTGGTCACATACACTCACCGTGAGCTTAACTTCAGTTGGTAAAAGCTTATTTGATGACTAGTGAGGTGAATGAAGGTTGAATCATAAAACTAACCTTTTAAAATTCATCAGATGAACGAGAGTATGATCAGACACGTCATTGAAAAGATTGCACCATTCACCAGAGTTGCTAGACAACATACAGAAGGTCAGAAGAAACAGTCTTCGTAATGAAAGCAGGTCCAAGTCCAAGGTCTTTGCTTCAATCAGATCTGTTGTGTTTTATGTAACATTTCAAATAATCCAGAACTTGTTAACTATTGCCTTATCAAAGCAGTATTTGCCAGATTTAATTACCTCTGATCAGGAATGCTTACTTTCCTCTGCAGAGGAACAAAGCCATCATCCTTCTCTTCATTATAGAAGCTAAATAGATTACATTTCTAATTCACTTAAGATGGAATGAATAAATGAGTTTTTAATTGAAAGTCATGCAAAACAAAGCCAAGCACTGATTATTTGGACCTTTTGAGCCTTAACAGGAGACATTATTTAATTATTTAATGTCTGACTGATGACAGGTGTGAGAAAAGCTGCAACTACTCACCTCCTGTTCACTGTCGGACAAAATATAAGGTTTTACTAGCTTATATGTTTGAATATCTTGTTGACTTTTTGACCAAAAAATTATTTAGTTTTGAAGGTATGAACAGGGAATTCAACCCGGAACTAATGAGATGTATTATTTTGATTAAAGTGCATGTTGCTAATTTTATACAGCATCAGATTAATCACTAACCCTTTGACCAAGAGAAGCCAACCAGTGTTTTTTAAAAGTATGTCGCTAAATATTGTTGAAATTTTACCTGCTAATAATCATAAAACCCACTGGAGTTCTTGGGCTGTAACCACTGAAGTTATACTGGGTGAAGGAGATCCAATTTAACTCAACAGAAACATTTGCAGCAGGGAGAGTGGACATACATTTAGCTAACAGAAACTACACTGTTGCTAGTATTATCACTGTAAACAAGAGATAAAATAAAAAAAAATAAAAAACAGTTGAAACCGTCTCCTTTTGTCGATTCCTTTTAACTGTAAGTCAACATTATCCTTACAGTAAAGCTGGCTGCAAGGGGAAGTTAGAAAAGTATCAGCTTAGAAATCCCATGAGTTCTTGCTTCAGCAAGAAATGTTAACATACATAAAGCAAATATTTTCTGTTTGTAATTCCTTAGTAGAACATCAAAAATATCTGTCGTCAATGTCTGAGAAAAATGTCTTGTGTGTGTCTGAATCTGTGACGCATTCAGCCCGAAGGCTCACAAGACTGATTAGTTTCCTTATGGTGACATTATGAAAAGCTTTATTTTTTTGTTCACACTATGTTTTTGAAAGCTGAGAAAAGTTCAAGTAGCAAATGTACCAAAAACTGAATAAAAAAAAACAACAGCAACATTAATTTCTGAACTTTTTCAGGGAAGCGATAATGACTGCAGAGAAGGCATCTTAATTTAGTATTCTGTAATGGAAAAGGTTAAGTATACTCATGCAGCGTGAAAATGTCAACGTGTTCAAGTGTGTAGCAGACAGATTACAGGTCACTGGTCTCCCATAGTCAAATTAATTAAACCTTTCAGGACTGTCGGAGTATCCACTGAAAACTGCAGCATGTAAATAAATCATCACGGCAACCAGCTTCCAACAGTTTCTTCATGCTTTATATAAACTTTATATAACCACTATAAAATTCTTATATTCGGAGGGAAAAGCCAATATGAGTTTGAGTGCATTCATTAAAAGTAAGGTAGCTAGCACTTACACAGCTATGTGTTGCATGAGATTGGGCACATTCATTGCACCAATTGGATAATGAGAACACCAGTGTTTAATTTACATTGAGCAGTGTGTTAATGGAAATCTGACACTCTCACAGGGAGGGAAAGAAAAAGAGAGGGAGAGTGAGAGAGATGGAATGTAAAGAGTAAAAGTTGGACCAAAATGGTAGCCATATGTAGGTAGGTATGTAAGGTACCTTTCATAAAATATACCTGTAAATTAGCTTAACGTGAAATAATTGTGCCTTAATGTTAATACATACCGTTAAATAACCACATACCTTGATCCAGGTCAAACTCCTCCGTAGTGCTGACAAAGTGAGGTCGGGAGTAGAAATTATGAGGCCCCGGCTGCTGGAGCCCACCCAGGCTGAACAGGCTGCGCTCGTTGGTAGCGCAGCATGAGAACGCCCTGCGGCTCGGGATGCAGGGGAACCGAGTCCAGCTCTTCATCTCCAGGTCGAAAGCCTCCAGTGCCGTTACTGGCATCTTTCCCTGACGACCACCTGGAGGAGGAGGAAGACTTATAAAAACATATTTTCTTTTTATATTAGACATAATGTCATCTTACACTAATGTAAAAAAGTATTCCCTCTTTCACGCATTTCCTTCTGATTTTTTCCTTTTCTGTTCGCTTATACATTTCAGATCATCAAGTAAATTCAAGGTCAATATGAAGATAATCTGGCAAAATACTAAATGTGGTTTCCAAATGATGATATTTCAGTATTAGGAGGGAAAACGTATCCAAACCAGCCATGCCTGACCAATCGTCCTCAAACCTCGTGCCTGCTTGTGAAATCCAACAGACGTCAGCTGTTTGTGAAAATTGGCAATCAGTCTTTTGTGTCACTAGCTGCGTTTCCATTATAAATATGCAAAAAAGTGTTGCTGATATTCCACTACTGTTGAAAAAACACAGTTTTGCAATTGTAAGTGTTTTCATTAAATAAGAAACGCAATTAAAATCACATGTGAAAAAGTCATCAGAAAGCATGTCGCTCCATCATCCTCCAACCACTTTCTGTCATCTTCATTGTTTTCGGCAGCAGTAACATCCAGCTGTTGATCTTGAGATTCATGTGATGTGAAAAAGTGTATTTATTGCAGTTCTGCAATATATATCTGTTTCGATACAGCCAAAACATGATTGTTTTTTTGTTTTTTTTGTTTTTCCAAAATTGGAGTTTTTCCATTCAGCGTGTTTCCGTATAGTCAGTGGAAACGCAGCTGTAGATTTACTGGGGTTCTAAAGCCTCGTGTATCGCTGGATTAGAGTATAAAAAAGTGTCATCAAATTGTGGTGTACCTCATTTAAAACCGAATGAACTTCCAAGAAGGTTGGCATTTATTAGAGTAAAAGTACAAAGAACAGCTAGACAACTTCTGCCACTGCTACTGCTTGAAATTTCACTCTTTATCGTCTTCCACTGTCACTTTGTTTCAGTGGCATTTATATCAAAATCTACCAAGCATGCAGAACAGCTTTGAGACCACATTTCATTTCAAGTTGAAGAGCAAAGCGCAGCAGCAGGGTGCTCCCCTAGGAGTAAATAACTAGGGTTAGTTATTTACCTTCATAAATCATAACTTAACCTTGGAAAACTCTACTACAAAGTAGTATGTTAATCAGGCATTGAGCGAACAGGGTGGATTTTGTGCAACAGAGAGGGGAGGAGAAGAACTGAGGAAAAGGTGCTGAAAGGTAGAAAACACACAAGATGCAGTTGCTAGGGGCTACGAGATAAGAGAAAGATCAATGGAGGGTAAGAGGGAGCAAATCACAGCAAAAAAGGAGGCAAATGAGGGAGTGACAAAGAAATTGCAGAGAGAAGTGGCTGAAAGAGGAGAATGTGGAGGAGTGGAAGAAGAAAGTGGAAGGGGGTCAGCTGGAGTGGGCAGGATAACATGGAGATCAATACTGATAGTGAGACAAAGAGTCAAACTGAGTGGGAAGCATTAGCGTGAGAGAAAGGAAAGAGATTCAGAGAAAAAGGATCGGTTGAATGCGGCAGAATACTGTGGATGTGAGCACTGTGTGAATCAGCAGGTTATTCGGATGTTAGATCAATATTCTACATCGAGACTTTTGAACTGCTGCCAAAATTATGCATACCTCTCTGACTTTTTCATGCTTTGTTTGTGCATTTTGGGAGATTTTATGTGAAAGATAGAAATTTTGGCGCAACAACACAATGGACCTATAATTATTTAGACGCTTCACAACATCCACAGACTTTTGTGACGCCAAAAGAACAAAGTACTGTTTGTACCTTTAACCCTTGTTGCTCACCTGTGTGAACCTACTGAATCGCTCACAGTGCATTTCTAAGATGATTATAGTGTTCACTTTGTATTCTGTCAGCTTTTGGTCGTTTAACCTCAATGCCACACCGTGTTCATGAAAGGAGAGAATTTCTGAGAGATAAAATGTGTTACGGCCATTTATGGCATTAAAAGCCTTCATGCCGTTGACCTTTGCCACATGTTTTCCCTGTTTCTCCCAACCCACTTTCCTGTCTGATTGTCAAATAAAGGCCACTAGACCTGACAAAACCTTTAAAAAACAGACATTAACATATTCAACATAATTCTGAAAATAAACTGGAAGCCAGTAAATGCTCCCACGTATTGGGGTGTGTTGTGCGTATTCTATGAGCCACGCAAACTCTGCATGCACACTTCACAGACAGTTAAAATTTCATAGTTGAGCCAGCCAATTACATTTCTCATGACAAATTCCTTTTAGTTCCCCACAGTCTGACTGAATGCTAGTAAGTCTGCAAGGTAGTCGGGTGTCTAGCCTCGTTTCTTCTCCATCAGGGCTGCCAACGGCAGCACAGAGAGTGGCAGTCACCCCATGTGCCCTGGTGACAGCCGGGTGTTGCATGCATTACAGCTTAATGTAGAGTGTTTCCTGCTTTTTTCAGGTTGCAACAACTAAGAAGAGGAAAAGACAAAGTAAACAAATGAAAAACAATGATAAGATTCCGCTCGGTTTCAGATTCCATCAGTTTATATTAGAACAAAACAAAGTTTGTGCAAACATTCTGCAACTTAAATTACCAGTTTTAGGCTAGCTTAGCTGCCTGGCTTTTTCTTAAATAAATAAATAGATAATTATTCAAAATATAATTTTGTGAAATATTAAGCTGAGTAAAATTGATTTTTGAGCATATTCAATACATTTAAAATTGCCAAGACTAGGACTTGTAATTAGAATTGATATTTTTTCAGCTCCTCTAATGGAAACCGCTGAAATTCAAAAGCTTCTTCTAAAATTAGACTGAAAATTTCTGTATTTTCATTAGCTTAATTTATTGACACCTCATGTCGTGCACATTGAGGATAAGATCATAGACAGCACTGTGTACTTACACTGAGGAAGTTGATCCTTGAATCTGACCATCATCCCTGACCTGAAGAGCCATTCATAGAAATTGAGACCATATTTTCTCGGCTCTCCCACAGTGAAGCCTGATGTTTAAAGGGGCAGTATTATGTAAAAATCTACTTTTTTCAGCTTTACATCAGGTTGTGATGTTATTCCCTCATCACAAACACACCTGGAGTGTTACTTTGGTTCTTTCAGGTATTTTTGAGAAATCCTTTAATCTCCCGTGGCAACCATTCAGCTGTGTAAAACGCCTGGGTGGACCTAGCTCTGCCTTTAAGGCTGCAGTTTCCGCCTCACAGAGCAGTTGTTCCCTGCAACTCAGCTCAGAAATGAGCTAACACCTGGTGGAACTGTTCATCTGCTGATCTCATTGTCTGAGATACTTCTCAGTGCAACACTTGTAAAAATAATGTTAAAGGACTAACAGAGGAGTCAAGTTATGATAACTTCCTGAAGGCGGAGTTTCAGAAAGGCCCAATTTCAAGGCTTTAAATGACAAGTAAAATTTCTTTTAAGCCATATTTCATATCATATCTATGACAACTGCAGGAAACACAGTTACTTGTTTGTGCTATAAAATGACACTACGTTCCTAGCAAACACATAATACTGCCCTTTTAAGTCAAGTTACTGAAAAGTGGTGAAATTTAAACCGAAGGGGGTTCAGACACCCACTGATCCTGAAACGGCCCCCCAGGAGCAGCAGGTGAAGAAACAGCGTGAGTGCACCAGATAGGAAAAACATTTCACAATCACAATGCTTAGCGGTGGAGGGGACGGCAAACTGAAGTAAGATAATAATGGAGACGTAATAATCAGGATTTGCGGTTATGAAATTAGCGGCATAAATATCCCCATAGATTTGTAGATAAACAGATTAGATCATCTGTATACCAGGCTTGTGTGAGCCATGACTCCGAGGATGCACTTTAAACCAGCCATCCTTCTCTGCCTTGTGCGCTGGCCGGGCATCATTAACTCCACTGTTACTAAGATGGATTAGCTTCCTGAGCTCATCTCTCTACATTGTTTTTATGGAGCGTTTTCAAAAAGAATCCCATTTTTTAACCAGCGCGGCGAAGCAAGACACAGACACAAACTGAAACCCAGCACAGGGTACTTCATTTGGTGGCTCGTAAATCCCGCAGCGTTGCTGTCAGGAGTAAAGATGAGTAAAGCCTCGGACAACTTTGACAGGCGGGTAAAAAGGTTTTGTCTTTGTGTGTCGCACTCTGTGGGATTCCTATTTAAAGCCTGGAAGAGGGCAAAGAAACAAGAGTAAAGGACAAAAGATTTGGCAGCTCAGATTCTGAGTCAGTTTAAAGAAATGCTTTACCTTTAAGAAAAAAGAGATGTTCACATGTCCTTTTCACCAAGTGTAAGTTAAGTCTAAGTCTCTAATGACTAAAATTAAGTCTGAAATTGAACACATGTCATCTTGTTTCCTTATTACACAGCACGGCTGTAGGATAGGAGTTCTAAACCTTCTCATTCAAGGTACATTACCTGTGAAACTTTCAACATGTTTGACTTTAAGAAACTTCAGCTCAACATGCCAGTCAGTTTTTGCACATTAAAACTGCAGCATATAACTTTTACAAAAATGTCTTTTACATATTTGTTGTTGGGACAGATGATCTGTGACAAAATCAATCTCCTCTGTTTTCTCCCTGTGGTCCTACAGCCACCTGCTCAGACAAAAACAACCAATCAGAGCCAGGAGGAGGGCCTTAGTGCCGTCAACCTGTACATGTCAGTGAGTAAATGACATTGACATGTCACAGATGACTGCTCAACGTGTGATTTTAATTGTGTTTCTCTGACATTAGCGGAGTATTGACAACTTTAGCTCACACTTGTAATGGAAACTCAGTTATTGTTTATTTTCATCAGACCATGTTCTGTTATATTCATTGTTGCTCAAGGTCTCGTTTTACCAGGTCATTCCTTTGTGTATAGTTTCTTAGCTTATGCGCATGTTCTGCTTTTTGTGTATTTGGACTTGGCTCTCAGTTTTGTGTCCTTGTTTTCCCCCTGATTTGTTCCCTCCTTGAGTCGTAGTTCAGCCATCAAGTATTTATTAATACACACATTAAGCACTCCTTCCCTCAGTCTGCCAGTTTGCTCTCGTCCCCAGATTTTTTTCTGCTTTTTTGTCTGAGTCTACTCATGCCTCATTTTTTAAGCTTACCAGTTTCATTGTCCCTTACTGGTTCCTCCCAGTATCATCTTCATGACTCTCCCTACGCTCCATGTTCCATTTTTGGCTTGGCTTTGGCTTTGTACTTGTATACCCATTCACACACACACTCACGCTTACGGCCACCAGGCCCTGTTACCAACACCACGGCAGGGCGGGTGAAGTGTCTTGCCCAAGAACAAGAGGCAGGTGGAGCGGGGATCGAACCAGCAATCTGCTGATTGTTTCTACTTTTGTTTTCATAAAAGTGTTCAGCTTAACCTTCTCGCGTATCTGCATTTGGATTATTTAAAACCAACTAAAAATGACAATGACAAACTATAAAGCTTGTTGTTCCTGAAGTCCTGATATACAAGCCAAGACCTTGCAAGATTCATCAGTATCCAGTTGGTTTGTATGATCCTTGTTGGGTCTTCATTCAGTGATAACAGGGTACAAAAGTGAAATTGTGCTTCTAATGGAAAGTTCAAGCCAATATATGGGGATAGTTAAGAATTTACCCAGTGTGAAAGAGCAAGCAGTCTTCTTGAAAAAAAGAAAAGTTTAGATGGAAACTCAATGTCAGTCGCTTAACAGATACAGCCTGTTTTTCTTTATCTACAGAGCAGCCCTTAGCAGAAGCCCACCACTACTAGAGGCTACTGTACAAAGATTTTGAGTGTTTCTTCAACCTGAGAAACACGTTTTTCTCTTTCTATCAGTGAGTTTCGCAGCTCGGAAAGTGCCAGACAGATAAAGTCAAAACTGAGAGGTTTGTGGTGCAGCAACAGCCACACATCCCCTGGTCTCAGCTCCGTGTCAATATCTGAATGGAAACAAAAACAGATGATAAAACTGATCCGTTTGCCAAACCCAGATGTACCACCAACATTTGTGAAAGATTGGACCTTTCTCAAGAACTCAGTTCCAGAAATCAAAATTAGAGTTTAAATTACAAATGTGTGCAAAAGTTTCTTCATACACACAGCTGCACATTGTCAAAGAATACAAGTGCCAACAAATGAATGCGTTGCTGCTGTACACAAACTGGGGTGATGTAAAAAAAAAGAAAATGTTTCTATATCAGTTTTGCAAAAATACATCAATTTGGATATGACTGCTTGGAGAGTTTAAGAGAATCATCATGACAGAAGCCAGTGAATGCAGAGAGAGTGAATGTTGTAGCGTTATCTTACCCATCACGTAAATTCTGTTTCCTATTACGAAGGGTGTGGCTCCGTAGCGTGGCGTAGGCATGGAGGTGGTGGCCTGCCACTGATCCTTCTCTGCTTCGTAGACTTTAACAAAAGCCTGAGGCGTTGTGTCTGCTCCCATTCCGCCCAGGGCGAACACCTTCCCATCTGCAGAGAGACGCCCAGCAGAGAGATCGTGATTATTAAAAAGTTCATAGGACCATAATACACGTTACGTGGTTGCTGAAATCATCCGTCCATTTTTCATCAGCTGTTAACTGTGAGCCAGCAGTCCCTTCAGTTTTTTAATGAAAATTCACACAAAAACAACAGAAATTAAATTTTTTCACACTAATGTAAATTTTCTTCAGTAATGGTCCAAACCGCATTCTTTAAATGATGTAAACTCTCACCTGCAGGTGGGAGTAAAGCCTCAGCTTTACTTGATGTCTAACTGTAATCTGTGATCTATAAGGCGAGTAACAAAAAGTTATATTTACCGTTGTGCATTTTTATTTTACACACTTTGTAATAATTTACTTTTGAAATGGATTTAAAGCTGTATGAAACATTTATATATATATATATATATATATATATATATATATATATATATATATTTTTTTTTTTTTTACGTATTTATTGAAACTGTCACTATGTTATGACAGCATGGCATGACACATCTGTGGAAAAGAATTGAGCTCCTCTACCTTCTCCCAGTGCTCTGCTATGATACAGCTTCAGTAACTTGCTGGCCCTGAATTTTGCACTAAGCTTCAAATTATTTATTTAGGTCTTTTGCAGGAGGGTGTCAGTATTTGAGAGTTTTTTCGCCATGGCTGACCACGTCATTGTGTCTGTGTGGAGAGGAGAGATGCAGAGCCAAGCCCAGCCTCAACCTGTAACTGTGGGTATGGGAGCTGCAGTGGACAAAGCAAGTATATTATTCCCTTCTCACAGATATCAGTTAATTATGTGCATTTCCACAACTTACTGTGATGTCTGCTTCGTTTATGAAAAAGAAAAATCTCCAATTCTGTACACGTTTTTGTCATTGTAGGGCCCTAGGGGCGACATTCCACAGTGACATCTCCTGACGCAATCAGTCAAACACTGCTGAGTCCTAGAGATTCCTTTTTAACACTTCCAATACTGATACCGATATCTGAGGTTTAGTATCAGCGGATACGATAAGGTATTTTATATGCATTTTTTAAAATACAGACATAAATATACTGAATTACAAATTAATTTGTGTATGTAAGTGTACAGTACACTTACATACACTAATAACATCCCAAGCTTGGTCAAACATGTAACACCAACTTTAATTTGTTCAGTCAGCCAATGTAAGAAAGAAACCGAAACTGACAAAAACAATAGGTTGACTACCTTGGTCAAAG